TCAACAAAATTAGTGTTCATTGTGATAAACATCTTTTTTGTTGTAGGATCAAAACATTTATAGCCTTTCTGTGTTGAAGACAGTCCTAAGAAAATACATTTTTTGCCTCTAGGATCAAATTTGCTTGCAGTTCTATCAGGATTTGTAACAAAAACTGTGCAGCCAAAAATCTTTATGGGAAGAGAGTTAATAAGTCTAGTTTGAGGAAAACAGTTTTGAAGTGTATCAATAGGAGTTTTAAATCCTAGAGTTTTTGAAGGCATCCTATTGATTAAATAGGTAGCATGCAAAACAGCCTCTCCCCATAAATATTTTGGAACCCCAGTAGAGAACATAATTGCACGAGTAACTTCAAGCAAATGTCTATTTTTCCTCTCAGTTATTCCATTCTGAGCAGGTGTATTTATGCAGGAACTTTGATGAATAATCCCTTTTTCAGCAAAAAAATTGTTTAAATTTTTAGAAAAATACTCAAGACCATTATCACTTCTTACCATTTTGATATTGGTATTGAACTGAGTTTGGACCATTGAGTAAAAATTTTTGAACACGTCTTCAACCTCAGATTTTTCTTTAATTAAGAAAACCCATGTCACTCGTGTGTGATCATCAATAATAGTTACAAACCATCTTTTTCCTTTCAAGGTTGAAACCCTAGATGCACCCCAGATATCACTGTGCACAAGGGTGAAAGGACTAGTTGGTTTGTAACTATGAGGGATATAAGAACTCTTATGATGTTTGGCAAGTGCACACATATCACAATGAAATGATGAAGGATCCTTGTTATGAAATAATTTAGGAAACAATTTTTTTAAATAATAAAAACTGGGATGACCTAACCTATAGTGCATTAAATACACTTCGTTATTACAAGGAAAGGAAATAGTTTGCAGACAAGTTTTTTCTGGATCTTGTTTATTCAATTCAGTTCCTTCATCAAAGACATATAGTCCATTCTCCTCTCTAGCACTGCCAATCATCCTCCCCGATGCCAGATCCTGAAAAAGGCAATAAGAAGGATAAAATCTTACACAACACTGAAGATCTTTGGTCATTTTGCTAATAGAGATAAGATTGCAGGAAAGTTTTGGAACATGTAAGACTTTAGAAAGGTTAATGGATGAAGAAACTTTAATATTTCCCATCCCTGCTATGGCTGAAAAAGAGCCATCTGCAACTTTAACTTTCTTATCTCCTGCACAAGGTTGATATGAAGAAAAAAAAATTGGAATGAAGGTCATATGGTCTGTTGCACCTGAGTCAATGACCCAGGTACTTTTTGGTTTTTTAGAACAAAAGTATGATGTAATTTTACCATTTTGGGCAAAAGAACAAGAAGGGTTTTCTTGGTTGGAGATTTTCTGGGTAGGTAGAAACTGAAGAAGGTAGTCTATCTGTTCCTTTGTGAAAGGCAGCTGTTTAGAGTCAACCTCTGACTCTTGTTGAGTCTCAGTCACAGTAGTTTGTAGAGCCCTTTCAAATTTCTTCTTTCCAGCTCCTGGTGGCTTTCCATGAATTTTCCAGCATGTTTCCCTGGTGTGCCACAATTTCTTGCAGTGATCACACCAGGGTTTTTTCCTGTCATCACCTCTGGCCACTAAAGCTGATGAGTCCCCAGGTTCCTCATTAGGTACTGAAGTGTTGTTCATGACCCTCCTTCTGCTATCTTCCAACCTGATCTCAGAAAAAACCTCTCTGATTGAAGCCAGAGGTTTTTTTCCAAGTATTCTGCCTTTTACTTCATCTAGGTCCCTATTAATTCCAGCTAGAAACATATAGACCCTATCATTCTCTTCTCTTTTCTTATGTCTTGCTAAATCCTTAGCACTTTCCCACTCTTCATTATCATAGCATTGGTCTAATACTTGCCACAGAGATACCATTTCATTGTAGTATGAAATGATATCCCTATTTCCTTGTTTAGACTGCCACAACTTGATTTTGAGTTCAAAAATTTGAGAAGAGTTCTCCAGATCTGAATATGTTTCATTAATAGAGTCCCATACCTCTTTTGCAGTTTTCATAAACATATGAGGTCTGACAATTAAGGTCTCCATGGAGCTGAGAAGCCAAGCTGTTATGAGTGAATTCTCTGACCTCCATGTGTTGTATCCTTCCTCTCCAGGTAATTTAGGTTTGATTTCTCCTGTGAGGTAGCCCAGTTTCCCCCTCCCATCAATTGCGAGCCTGACAGATTGAGACCATTCCAGGTAGTTTGTTCCATTCAATCTATGACTAGTGATTATCATGGATGAATGAATAGGGGACTGGTAATTTGTCATGGAGCTAATTTGGGAGTTAGGGTTGGTAGTGTGTGAGGAATCAGAATCACTGGTTTCTACCATTGTTTTCTTTAAACCGAGCTCTGATACCATGTAAGTTTGAGGAATTAATCTTCCTTGAATATTATTGAGCCATGCGGCTGAAGTATTTATACAGAGTATAGATAACAACTATTCTGTTTCAGATCCTAAAAAATAGGATCTATCTATCTGCGTTCTTATCTACTAATTAAAGCTATCTATCAGCTCTAATTCTAATCTATACAGCAACGGATGTACATAGAATAAAAAATACAATAATATGTCACATTTTTCAAACAAAATAAAATACTAAACTTGCAAACAATACATACCCATGAAGTAGTTGGATGACTTTCCTCCTTGTGCCCACCATAGCTCAAAACATGTGATTTTGAACTTTGTGATTAGATCCTTTAAAAAATTGGTCAGCCAACACATTTTGAAATAAACTACTGTCTCATGATCACAGCTAATTGAACCTGCAATTTTAAAAATACAAGGCACCATTTGCAGAACTTAGAACTTTGCTAATCATGATGGCTTACAGTGCAAAGGAGGTGTGGAAGCCCTAAAACAACCATCCTTTCCTTTTCAAGAACAGTCATCATAGTTTTCCTTTCTTAACTATACCCAGACACCCAGTTAGCCACTTTCTAGGGTAAAAAAGAAAATCCCATCACTGCAGTAGCACTAAATGAGTTTATTTATTTTATTTTCTGTAAAAGTGATTGTTTTTCCCAACATTAGGCCTAAAAGTTCAAGCCAAAACAGTTTAATCTGAGTGTCAACACTCAAGACCCTCTATTCTGAATATGTTCTTACCTATTTAAACATGATTGATTGAATGACAACAAACCCCTGTGGAGGATATAAGAGTAAGTTAGTAGTACTGCTAATTTAGACCACAATCACCACTTGTATCATCAAAATCTTTTATAGGCACATGTTTTCACTAATTTCAGGTGCTGACTATTATCATCGAGAATAGCTCTAATACAACAACAGGTGTTAATTGGCGGGACTCATATTCAGTCTAACAACATTAATGCATTTGAGCCATCTCTTATACAACAGCAGTTTGATGACAATATGCTGCTGATTATTCTAGCCATCTCTTATGAAGTAAAGCATCTTCTATATATTGCCATAACTATGGTTTACTTCTACTTTGGTGGGATGGAGAATAAACTCCCTGGTTTTTTCATTGTGCTCCCATGTGAGCAATACATGAAAAAACAGCAGAGGGATTTACTTTGCCTAAAAAGAAATTACACTCAAACAGAATGACCATGAGAGGAAGCAAAAGTGAAGTGAAAATAGCACATACAGGGAAGGAAAGCCGTAAGAGGGGATGCTTACCGTGCAAAGGAGGTGTGGAAGCGCAGAAGTTTTTCCAGAGCTACACACAAACCCATTGATATTTGTGGAAGGCGGGAGGTCTGGAGCATGAAGCACGCACATCATCCATAACTGATGCAATGAATGATAGGGAATTAAATAACACAATAATATGGATATTAATGAGGAAGGAGATGAGAGCTTAATTCGGAGAAACGGCATCGATGCAAACCTGGACAGCCTGATCAAGAACAGGCAAACGACAGGAGCCATGGCGCTTTGGTCAGGGCGTGGATGAGAGCTGCTAGGCGCGGACCCAAGGTTCGAGGCGGTCCAAATTTGAAACGAGGGGGGAGGCAGAGGTGTGCTAAATCAGGGTTCAATCGGAAGAGACGGGAGCTATTAACGGGAGTTAAACGGAAAAACTTAATTCCTATAAAAAGTATACCCGCTAAAACGTAATGTACTATCCAACAAAGCAAATGATTACACCAACATTATTTTCAGCCCTAAAATATCCTAACCCTCATTGAGGATTATAAGCTTTTAAGATTAAAATTATATACATATTCTTAGGAGTATATATATTTTAATGCATATTTACTTACTTATTTTTATATTACATTCATTGTTTTAGTTTTGTTATTTAACTATTTAAAACTATTATTCACTTCAACCGGTTCTCTTAGGCTTCTTAGGCCTCATTAGGTCCAAACTCCAGCGGGTCGGAACTCGGAAGGTCCAAACTATTTAAAATTATTATTCTCTTTAACTGGTTCAACATATTTATATTGTAATTTCCAACGTTGAATGTCTTTTTGCCAAAAATTTAGTTGTAATTTGTAAGAATTTTTTCAAAGACTAGGAACCGTTAAATGACAAGAACCGAACCGTTAAGAACGGTTCGGTTCCTTATCGGTTCTATAAAATAATTTATAAGAACCGAACCATTAGTAAAATTTCATATTTTCAAACGGTTCCACATATTTTGCCTAGGAACCGAACCGGTCCCAGGCCTACAAAAAAGGAGAAGTCAAAAAGTTTCAATGGAAAAGTTTGTTTTTGTGAAGAAGTTGAATGTTGAAGTAGGTCTGGGATTTTGGAACCGAGAACCGAAAAAATGTTTGGAACCGAACGGATATGAAATGGTTCGGTTCGGTTCCTGTTTTTGGGAGTTAAATACTTGTTCGGTTCCTAATGTAAACTACCGGTTCGGTTCTCGGTTTTACAATAAAAATATATTCAAGAAACCGATATAGAACGGTTAGTTCATTCTTAGTGGGTTATTCTATTCCGTAGTCCAAATCAGAAATAAAAAATATACGCAGTACAACTCGCAGCCCATTTGCAGCCCACAACTCCTTTAGTCCGCTTCAGACTTCATCGAGTGCAACAAGGATTTGCCGATTAGGAGGAAACCCCTAGCCACACCGCTCATCTTCTACTATGCTCTTCCATTCACTCTGTCAAAGATTTCACGGATTCATCAAAGGAGTCAAGGAGAGGTCATAGACAACGAACCTCCTAGCAAAACTTGGTATGTATTTAATTTAAACTTTCGAACCTCCTAGCAAAACCAACGAAGCTTCTGAAGTTTTGAGAATCCGTTTGTGAAGCAAGACTGCCAGTGTGACAGAGTTTTGCAATCTCCTTTCTGGAATATGGAACATCAAAATTAAAATTGAAGCTTTTAATTTGTTTCGAAAATTGAAGTTTCTGACTTCTGTTTTGGAGGAGTTTAATCTCTTCCTCCATTTTGTTTGTAAATTGGGTTTCCACTACATTTATCATCTTTTTCACACATCCTAATCTTTCTGGTGATTTTTTTAATCCTTTCTTGTATTTAGTTTCCACTGTTCCATTTTAATTTCTGTATGCATATATACATAAACAATATGAAAAATAAGCTAATTGCATCCATTCTTTGAATAGTATTAGGACTAGATTTGATAATGACAACTAAAGCATACCAAATGTTTGAAAAATATGTCTATAACATACGTATTACCCCATTTTTCATTCTAAAAAACTGTGTTTTTTTTCAGCTATTAATATGCAACTTCGATTCATCAAGACCAGATTGCAACATCATATGACATAAATATGATGTTAATTTTGAAGTTATGGACTGAATTAATGTACTTCTTTTCTGTAAGGATAATTGTACTTTTTTTAAGCTCCAGTTTAGTATTTTTTGAACCATTTAACTTTCATGTTTCAATCAATCCTAACTTTTAACAATCCTGAACTTGTAATTATAAATTTGGGGGTTATTTGAAATGGGGTTATAGTTAGATTGATTGCAGCTTTGTGGAGTATTTTAACTTTTTTTGTGGCGGAATCGGTGCATTACAGTTTTTTAAGAACCGAAAAATGTCAAGAACCGAACCGTTAACACTTGGTTCGGTTCCATAATGGTTCTAGAATTTTTTGTTGGGAACCGAACCGATATAAAATATTGTGATTTTACAAACGGTTCCTCCAATTTTGAAGAGGAACCGAACCGGTCCCAAGCCTATGTTGAAGGTCCTTCTCAAAATGAGAATGTAGAGGAGAAGAATGATTTTGCTACCGAAAATGAAAAGGTTCAGGATGATTTGGATAGATCAAATGCATTAAATGCAATTATTTATCCTTTGATTTTGGATATTTATGACCTTGCTGATTAGGGGAATCTAGATGTCAAAACATTTTAATTGAAAAATGCCCTATAGGAGAAATGCAACTCAATTATACTCCTGATGCTAAGTGTAGACATTTCTCAAATAAGTACTACACTAGAAACATGAACAATAAGGAAAGTGAAGATATATAGAGTGGGGTTCCCAATTTTTTAAAGATTAGACTTATTTTAACTTACAAGACCGGCCCTGACAGCAGGTGTTGAAGATGGACATAATATCACAGTTGCAAGAACATGTGAATTCGACGGCAGCTCTTGCCTTCAATACCTTCGGAACGCTTCAGAGAGATGCTTCTCCTGTTCGATTGTCGGCTAATTATCCGGAACCCCCTCCCGCTGCTGCAAAGCCTGCCGATGATGCTGCGGCAGCAGCTGCTGCAACGGCTAACGCTGTGGAGCAATCCAAACTGATGGCCGCTGAACTTGTCAAAGCTGCTAAACAGGTTTGTGAACCCTGATTAGGTGCTTGTTCTTTCGACTAGATGATAGGTTTGTGTGAACTGTTATTTTTACTATAATTCTCCCTTTGGGATAAGTAAAGAGGAAGAGTTAAAAAGTGATTGAGTAGCTAGCTGGCTACAATATTTGTTTTTGTGAACTAGATGAAAGATCTGCGGCACAGAGTTTGTTTCTGAATTGTTATTGAAGATGAATATATAGCTGAACGGTTTATGTTATTTTTATTTACTTGAATTTACTTCGTTATTTTTGCTAGTCAACATAGAAAGTAGATTCAAACTTTTCTACTGCATTTAATTTTCTCATAAGTTGTTCTGCATGTAGTTTGATGCATTGGTTGCTGCACTCCCATTGTCCGAAGGGGGTGAAGAAGCTCAATTAAAAAGAATTGCAGAACTTCAGGTATATATGTTCCACTAAATTGGTATTTTTTGTGTTCAAAGATAAAAGATTGATGCTCTTTTAGCAGAGTGTTGTTTATCCCCCCCCCCCCCCCCCCCTCCCGTTTTATCTTTCACATAATGTGGAAGGTTTTCTTTAATTCTTTTGTTTCTTAGTATCATCTTTTCAGATCAACTAAACACTTCCTATCTAGTCACTCTAGCAAATAATTCAGTCGTGTAGCCAGAATTCATTTCCAAGAAGAGGCATAGGGGGTGTTTGGGTCTGTTTCTTAGAACCGTTTCTGCTTCCTTAGGGAGCAAAATCATATATTCGAGTGTTTGGGTGAAAGTCGTTCAATATATTATGGAGTAGTATATTGTTGTAGTCTTAGTTTCTTTCTCATCCTTGTAACAAATGTAATAATTAAAAAAATAATCCATGATTTGGAAATGTATGCTCCTAGGCTGAGAATGATGAAGTAGGACAAGAACTTCAAAAGCAACTGGAAGCAGCAGGTACAGAACCTAGGTTTCATACTTTGGCATTTAGAGGGTCTAGTACATTGCATAGTTTTTTTTTTTTTTTTTTTTTTTTTTTTGCATTGTAACCAGCTAACAATCTTTAAAACTTATTTAACACATAGATGAGTTTACCAAAGTGCTCAAAGGAAAGCATAATAATCAGAGTCTAGTACATTGCATAGTTAGTTGCATTGTGGATGCATTTAACAGAGGTATTTTATGAAAGGTAATAAGATGGATTAAGCTTAGTGCAGGTAGTGTGAAAAAAGCATGACATGCTTTAATTTTTGCAAAGTAATTATGAAACGAAAATGAACACTCAAATTGAAAAAGGCAAGGAAGGGCTTGGTAATAGAGTTGGTTAGGAGGTAATGCAAAAAATAAGATATCAATGGGGGCAGTACAGACTTGGGATCTGTTTATTAATGGTGATTGCGATATGTATACATCATGCATTAAATTATGTATACAGATATATCCCCCCCTGCATCTTCTATAAATTTAGAGCCTTTCAGCTTGTTTTGCACAATAAGTATCTCTTGGCTTGATTACCAAAGGCTTATTCTCTCAAAATTCAGCAGATTCATCCATATTAGTCAATTAACCTTCAGTGAATTGGCTCTGTTTTTTTTTACCCATGCAATAACTAGACATTAATCTCTTTGCCCCTGCAATCTTTGGCATGATTCCTTTGCATGCTACGTAGTACTACAAATATTGAAGCTTGAAAATGATCACAGACTAGACGAGTAGAGGTAGCTGAGATTACCTTGCCCATTAGTGACGTGGCCCTCCAGAATCATCACTGAGTTAATAAGTGGTAAATTACATGTCTTTTGACTGTCACCTTAGGCGGCTGAACGTGAGTGCGTTGAAGGTGGCTGGATAACTTGAATCATGGATGAATGATTGTTTTTACATATTATTCTGATGGGTATATCTGATGTTGTATATGTACCAGATAAGGAGCTGAAGCAGGTTCAAGAGCTGTTCAACCAAGCATCGGATAATTGTTTGAACTTTAAAAAAACGGATTAACGGTTATGTACACAGTGTTGGGGCCAGAAAAATGATTGAGGGGTTGAAACAACAGAAGGAAAATGGTGGATTGTTTTTAGACAATACCTAAGTTAAATGTTTAGAATCGAGTGATTCTACTGGAAAAAAAAACCTAAGTTAAATGTTTTATATGTAGCTTAGATAAATGAGTTTAAATGAGACTAATAAAGTTATAGATTTAATATATAAGTCATATATATTGTAAACTTGTTTTATACGAGTTTAGTCTATGGGTTTTCATATCGGTGATTGCCTCAGATGAGACCCTTTGTGTTACCGTGGAACTTTATAGTTCTCCTCTCATCTAGTTTAATATTAGGTTTTTTACTAGAAAAAAAATCGACAATTGAGTAGCCACTTGTAGTAGTGAGATATGTTGGCTTTGCTCTTTCTGTGAGTCATGTCTCGTAAGTAATGAGTGATTATATGTTTTTTTTTTTGAAATTTGAGAATATAATCAATATTAAGTACTCCCTTCGTCCCTTAAAAGTTAAAATTCTGTCATCTTTCCTTTTTGGGACGTCTCAAAAAACTGTCACTTTCCCTTTTAATCAATTATTTTGTGATTTCTGTAATTTTTCTTTTCACTGCACAAACCTCAACATAATTTTTACTTTATTAATCTCCGTGTCGATCAACTTTGGCAAAGTTTTAAGGAACAAAGGTAGTACTACTTATCAGATTTTACAAAGTTTTCTAAAAGTCATAACTTTTTGCTCGTAATAAGTTAGGGATAAGGTCCAAAAATGACACTAAGGTTTTTAATAAAGTTCGAATTGGACACTAAAGTTTTAAGTAGACCAAATAAACACAAATCTAAACCTTTTGAGTCCATTTCAGCCATCCTTTTAACATCTCTGTTAGTTGACCCTTCCCAGTCGTTAAACATCACACCCAAATGTATGAAAATCAAGTTCATGTGGGTAGAGAGCCTTCTATTTGCCGAAGGATGAAGAATCGTAGGCCTATGATAAAAATTGGCCAGTATTGTTTGCTGATTCTTCACTGTGAGTAGTATTTACATCAACCCAAAGTATTTAACGAGACATCTTCTTCCCTTGCACACCATTGGTCCCATGAGACCTCTTCTTCCTTTGCACACCATTGGACCCATCGGAAACGGTTGGAGAAGATGTTGGTGCTGATTTTTTGTTGCTGGCACCATTTGTTGGAGCTACTCGCGCAAATGCTGCTGCTCATTTGCTGATTCAGTACCGAAAGTTAAGGCGTTGCTGAATCGGTTGGATGTTAATCTCGATATCGATTTTCTCTAGCCAGAATTTCTTTGTTGGCAGCAGACATATGTTTCAAGGTAGCCATCGAATCTCTCCTGTTACCCACCAATGTCCCCGTCGAAGAAAAAAGAGCTCCATCTATCATTTTTGCTCCTGGTTTGATTTGAAGTAGCAGAAGGATGCTGCGTCCTTTTCACCGTAGAGGATGAGTGCCAGATGAGTGCCGTTTGCTACACTTGGGAGAAGAAGAGCTGAATTGGTCTGTTCTGATTTTTTATAAGAGGATTGGGAGCAAGGGATGATGAGGCAAAGTCGGTAACTATTCTCTTCGGACGGTGCTTTCTAGCATCGAATGGAACAAACTAACGGAGATGTTAAAAGGATGGCTGAAATGGACTCAAAAGGTTTAAATTTGTGTTTATTTGGTCTACTTAAAACTTTAGTGTCCAATTCGAACTTCATTAAAAACCTTAGTGTCATTTTTGAACCTTATCCCTAATAAGTTATGAGAACCATAAAACATTCCTCCCGCGTGTGGAATAAAGTGTGTGCCTATTTACTTAGGGATGGACTCGGTTTGGGCCGCCTGGCCCAGAAACGGCCCGGCCCGAGGGGTTAAGTGGTTCCGGGCCCGGGTCATGCAAAAGGCGAACTGGCTCGGCGAACTGGGCCGAGCCTGATTCGGGCCTTTTTTTTTGGTTTTTTTGGGTTTGGGCTGAGTTTAATTGGGCTGGGTTGGGTGTTTTCGAGGGGTTTGGGGGGTGGGGGATGAAATAAATAAGAAAAAAATGAACCGGAACCAGCCCAGCCCGGAACCGCCGCCTACTCGGGCCAGTTTCGGTTCCCCCTTCCCCAAAAAAGACCCGGTCGGGCCCAGGCCCGAACTGGAACTTGCCCGGCCCGGCTCCACCTTTATATTTACTTAAACATCCAGGTGATGTCACATATACTCTGTCACATATACTCGCTCATGTGTGTGGCCTGCAGTGTCAGGATTGAAATATCATTGACACTCGCATCATTGTTGTAATAGTATTATGTGCACCAGTTATTTTAGTTTTTGGAAGTTATATTAATTTTTTTTAATGATGTGAATGCATTTGTGAAAAATTGAAAACTACAACATTTAAGGATGGACCTAGTCAGCGGTCCTGGGTCGGGCTGCAAGCGGGTCAGTCATTGTGCGGGTCCAAACCAGGATTGTTTTTTCAGTCCTGAGCTTGGACTGGATACTCAACCAAGTGGGGGACGATCTGGGTTTTTGGGGACTGGACTAGGCGGCCCCGATCCTGGTTCCAGTCCAAACGAGCATTTTTTTAATTCTAGGGTGGGAAAAACCGGTTTCAAACCGGACTGGGACTGATCGGGTAGACCAGATCAGAATCGGTATCGGGACAGGGACCGGATCAGGTCCACCCCTAACAACATTACCCGGTGGAACTCCCTATGTATCCCTTTGAACTTCTAACACATGTAACCCTATTATGCCTTGTTTGTTTACATGATTCGCATCCTACGGTACCTCTAGTAGGGGTGGGATCGGTCCGGTCTGGGTCGGGTTTTTGCTAAACCCGGAAATTACCCGGAATGTCTCGGGTTATGAAAATTAGGGACCGGAACAAAGCTCATTACATTCGGTCCGAGTCGGGTTTTTGGTAGCCCGGGTTTGGTCCGGGTTCGGGTTGGACCGGTTAAAGCCCGGACGTGAAATATGTCATTGTTCTTTTATATTTTAACACTTATTTTCAAATAAAATTAATCAAAAATACAAACCGCAAATAATAACACAAATATTAGTCTCCAAAATCACCAACAATTCAAATTTAAAGAAGATAATTATCTTAATATTTTATGTAAGATGTATATATATATATATATATATATATATATATATATATATATATATACATATAAATAATATAGGTTTATTAAAAATATTACGAAATAAATTTTATAAATCAAAAAGTTACAAGAGTTGCTATAAATATATTCTCATGGTCATCATTACGCTAAACAAATTCAACATATTTGTAGTCACTAAAAGTTACTAAATTTTTTTTTATCCACCGTGATTATAATCATATATTAGGAAATATTTTATTTATATTCATATACTATATTAATTTTATATTAAAACTAATTGTTTCGGGTTTTTTCGGTCCGGGTCGGGTTATAGATTTTAAGGCCCGTTAATAAGTCCGGAATTTTCGATTCGGTCCGGGTTTTTTTAAATTCGGGCCGGTTAAAAAGAAAAAAACCCGGACCGGGATCATAATTCGGGTCGGTCCAGGGTCGGTTTCCGGGTTTCGGTTAGGTTTTTCCCACCCCTAACCTCTAGGACCTTCATCAATTTCATATCTCAATCGTGTAGCCTTCGAATGGCCTTTAACGAGAATGATTGATGGGTCTTTCACAACTCGTGGTATATTGTAAGTAGGCTGGTACACTATATTTGGTATGGGTTTAAATTCTCTTTAATATATGATGAGAAAAATTATCAACAAAAGCATTATATGACAAATTATGTTTTCTACGTACTGCTAAGATATGCGAGCAAAGAATCTTATAAATATTCAGTTTCTGACATGTGCAATGACGACAGTGTAAATTCACCGTTTGTTTTGTATCATCCTTCCCCACAGACCATCCACCATGACCCGTTTTCACTTGGTATAAATCACGGCCTTTATCAAATGTTGTGGCCTTGTTATGCTTTGACTTCTGCTTATTTTTCTCAATTCATTCAGTCACTTGATGACAATAGCGATGTCTTTCCGCAAACCTTCTCTTACTCGCTTCTCTTCTTCCCACAAAATAGGCATTCATTCGATAAAATGATAACTCACAAAACTCAACTAAGGGAGTTATAAGCAGGTGTTGTGCACTTTTCAATAAGTTATTGAAAATTTCTGTCATGTCCGTTGTTGTGGTATCATACTTGTATCCTCATCGTGGTGTAAAACCACTTCTTCATAGCAATATATCCCTAGATATTCTTATGCCTTCATTACGCTTATCGTGTTAAAGCTATCATTAAGACTTTGTTTGCAAGTGCTTGTGCTTAAATAAAAGCACTTCTTGGGAAAAAAAGTGATTAGTAGTAAAAGTTGGTAGTGTTTGGTAAAATAAGTGTTTTTTGTGTAATAGAAAAAGTAAAAAGTAGATTCTACACGAAAACCGAGAAAGTAAAAGTTGGCAGTGTTTGGTAAAATAAGTGTTTTTTCTTAGAAAAAAGCCACAATCACTTAAATTATTAAGGGGTTGCAAACAGAGTCTAAATTTTTTTGTTTAATGTTGACTTGTTGTAAAAAGGGATTGATCATTAACTTTAGTGTGCAGATTAGAAGAGACATGCCAAATGCAAGGCTTATGTTGTGCATTTGACTCCTCCCACGCACTATCAATCTCATTAAGCGCTTTAAAATGTCAGCATGTCGATATGAAATAACACACAATTTTCTACATGTAATAAGATGACATATGCACGCCATTAATCATGATCAAGTATCTCCATTTGCTCCTTCACAAATAGAAAATGCCAAAGGGAAAAGCTGATTATTAGCATTACTACTCATTGCCACCAACAACGTACATTTATACTTCTAATACAAGTGTGTCATCAATAGTTAGTAAGGAACAACAATGTTTAAACCCCTAAATGGATGATTTAAGCGCCTAAAAAATTCTCTAGAACTGCACACACTCGGTGGTACTTGAAAGATGGAAAAGTTTGGGGGGGGGGGGGGGGGGGGGTTTAAAATACAATGCAATACGATACATTAAAAATACTAATAATTTGTCGGTACCTGAAAGAGGTGGGTACCAATACACGATCATCCCTGGATTTGAATGTTGTAATGTCAATATGAATTGAGGCAAGTCAGAATACGCCACCTCCTAACCTCCAAATATTTCACTGATATAAGATCCAAATGATGATAAACTACCAATCTAGAACCTGAATGATTGAAAACTATCGATCTATGACCTAAGTTGTTAATATTTTTAAATTTTAAAGTAGCAATCCAAAAAAATAACACCATCGTCATTTGAATCTTTTAATGCATCATGATTCACATTTTCATCTCTCATTCTCGTGTGTAATCATATTCATAACATTTGGATCAGATATAGATTGGCTAGATAATGACGGGTTATCACTGATCATTGATCAACCTATATGGCTATATGAGCAATATATTTACTTCAAAATAACAAAATCAGTAACTAAAGTAACTTTTTTCGATTACGACTTCATCATCATCAAGAGGTGGTGTTCTGCGGACTACGGTAAAATTGGGGTGCTCTAGGACTTCGATATAATTTTCCACATTCCCGTTACCCTTTCGCCATCCTCGCGTTCATCTAATCCTCGTGACGGGATAAAATCTAAGAGCATGTTTACTAACAAAGATATTTTCCTGTTTTCAATTTCTGTTTTTCGTTCTCAAATTTTCTGTTTTCATTTTCCTGTTTTTCTATCTCCAATTTTCTGTTTTCATTTTTTAGTTTTCCATTTTTAAATCTGAAAACATATTCATCAATTTTTTTTACCCGGTTTTGTGACTGACCAAAAGGCCGAAAGTACGCTACCAGTCTGGAACCAAACCTAATACTCTTTACTACCCAAGTAGGGTACCATGTCCCATGTATAGGAAAGTCGGGACCGAAATTGGGTTGTCGGGTCGTGGACCGGACAGGGACCGTAGGATTGTCGACCGGATCGGGATTGTCGTGTCATCGATTGGATCGGGCCAGAATTGCTCGGCTGTCGATCAGATTGACAGTGACTGTCGGGTCAATGACCGGACCGGACCACCGGGTCAATGACCGGACCGGACTGTCGGGTCAATGACCGGACCGGACCGGACCGGATCGCCGGGTCAATGACCGGACCGGACCGCCGGGTCAATGACCGGATCGGACCGTCGGGTCACTGACCGGACCGTCGGGTCACTTACCGGACCAGACCGTCGGGTCAATGACCAGACCGGACCGTTGGGTAATTGATCAGACCAGATAGGGACCGTTGGGTAATTGATCAGACCGGATAGGGACCGTCGGGTCGTTAGCCGGACCGTATCCACCATTAGGTGTAACTATACAAGTTCATTGCAGCGGCACTGTAGCATCCGTGTTTTCCAAATTTGGAAAACTAGTAAAAGTCACTTCTCCAATTCATTAAGGAAAACTGAAACATATCTCATTTTTTGGGTTTGGAAAATGATTTAGTGAACGTGTTTATCTGTTTTCTTTTCTCCAGTTTTCCATCAATTTTTCTTGCCTTCTCGAGTTTAAAATAGCCCAGAGCTCTACGGAGTACGGACTACGGTCTCTAACTCTCTACCTATATTGCCATAGAAGTGGCAAGTGTTTCACTCTGGGTTCTTCCGGTGCGTTCATCTATTTGGCCTCTTTCATATCCAATTTGTTATTGATTACTCATTTCGTGCATCCTCTTTTTATTTCAATCTATGAATCAGTAATGAGTTAAGCTTAATGAGTTAAGCTCACGAACTCGGAGGTTTTTTTTATCTCACTGCTTATAGTCTTTCTATCGTTCACGAATTCGGATGCTTTTTTGATCTCACGACTCAGTTCTCTATCCTTTTATCATGGATTCACCTAATTTGCGCAGGAAACTTAAGTATGAATGGTCTCGCGATTAGCCTCACCTCCAGAGTCACCGCCACATGTTTGATGCAATTCCCAACACGCCACAGCTTCAGTTGTGGTCCGCGAACTTCCAATGAACCCTGGCACAACCAAAATCATTCCAGAAGAATTGTCTGCATGGCGGTCCGTATCAAAGCACCATATTTTATCATTTATTAAGCTCACCCAATAGGCGGGGTAATTTGCGGGAATTAAGAAATATGTCAATATTATCATGCTCTATTAGAATCTAGAAACAATTAACATAAAGAAAGAGAAAAATAGAAATGTATGCATTATCTAGTAGTTCCAAATTGCAACCAGTTGCATAGCTGAGCTTGGAAATTTCAACAGTTTCCTGTTCAGAAAATAAGCAATTATTTGGTTACCTTATTTTTGTGGATACTTTTCCTGTTTGGTTTTTTTAATGCTTTATCTGCTTTAATTGGTTCAACTTTTTTGTGATTAATAATGAAGGAACCTTATTTGATTTCAAAACTGGAATCTGCTGAGAAGACATGGCGAGAATTATCCGTATGTTTTTTTTTCCTCTGGAGAGTTCAACCTATCACACAAGCACATACCTCCAAACTTCGTGTAATCGTAATCTAAACGACTTCAATCTGTTGAAAATGTGAAAGTGATATTGTGGAAGTTAACACCTCATACTGCACATCATTTGAAGGTTAAGCTTGGTGATCCAGATGTAGTTTCAAATCCAAGTGAATATCAGAAATTGGCTCAGTCAGTTTCAGAGCTTGACGAGGTGTCACACTTCATTTGTGATCCATTTCTTAAAATCTGTAACAGACTGGAAATGATTATAATCATTATTTGATGCCACTGACAAGTGACAGACTGACAGCGTCCTCTGGTAAATATATTATGTTTGACTTTTGGTTGTTAGGTTGTCTCGACATACACAAGCTTCAAAGATTGTGAAAAACAAATACAAGAAACAAAAGGTTTGCTTGCTTTTTCATACTATTTATTTTGCAGAGGAATAAAAACACATTTCTCCTTAATCCGATCCCTACTTTGCATTTTGCTCAAAATATTATCTTTGAATACATAACAACATTTTAAGTTAAATGTTAGCTTTGGCAAAGGAAGAAGGCGGTGATGAAGACATGACTGAAATGATAGCATCAGAACTTGAAAGTTTAGCTAAACAATTAAGTGAGCTGGAGGAGAAGCTTAAGGTGACTAAAATCCGCAGCTTAAGGCACATCTATTTTTCCTTTCATGTTTTCCTGACATAGCCCTCTTAAATTTTAAGTTTTGGAACTAAGGCTGGGATGTTGTTGTTGTACCCCTCTTAAATTCAAGTTTTGAACCTACTACATCTTTTCATATGTGATAGGTTCTTTTGATTCCTACTGACCCTCTCGATTCAAGAAATATAATGCTTGAAGGTAAATTTGGTCTCCATTTATCTTGGATATATTGTGTGATTTGGTTGCTTGCATCAATTATAGTGTTTCTTTTAGAACGGTCATTGGGATAATCTAATTGATGCTAAATGTAATAAAATAAGAAAGTCCTTCAAAACAAACCATCATAGTCATAGTCCACTGAGTCAATTCAGTAAGTTAATCTGCCAGGATTACAGTTTTCCCATATGGCCATATCACATACTTCGTATAGTTTTCTCGGAATTCGGTTGCTTTTCTCTTGCCGTTGAAAGAGCATAAATTCGTTTTTTATAAATTTTTTTAGAAATGTCTGAATTGGGCTAGGGTTGAGATGTGTGGAGAAGAGGCATGGAAGAGAGGGAGAGGAAGGCCCAAACAGACGTGGGTCAGGGGAGTCCGAAGTGATATGCTTCTTTTTGGGTTGGATGAGGGTATGGCTTTGGAGAGTGCAAAGTGGAGGGTATGCGTGTGGAGGAGTGATCTCGTAGCATCTTTTCCCCTCATCTTTTTCTTTTTTTAATCCTTTTATCCTTATATATACAAACATTATTTTTATCGTTTTTATGTTATCATTTATATCTATATTCATCTCTTTTTATATTATCTTTTATATAATAACTTATCTTTTTTATCTTTATTTTCTTTCTTTTTCCTTTTGGTGGTGATATCATGTATCGGTTCATGTTAGCCGACCCCAATATCTTTTGGGACTAAGGCTTGAATGTTGTTGTTGTTGTTGTTGTTGTTGTTGTTGTCTGAATTGGGCTAGGGTCTGAAAAACCTGCAACATTGTATTTCCCGGGTTCACACTCACATGTTTGCTGATTCTAGTGAATGTGGCAGAATGTTTTTTCACACATACAAAGTAAAGCTAATTAGTTAATTAATTCACAGTGCGCGCGGGTACTGGTGGTGATGAAGCTGGAATTTGGGCTGGAGATCTTGTAGGTACATGTTCCATTTGTCCTTCCAAGATCATACTGTGTAATGATGCAATTAATATGCTAATTATAGTTTCACTGTATGGTCAATGTAAAGCATCATTACTTTACAATTAACGTACTATGGTAACCAAGACCTATCGAGTCTCTCCTGTTCCATTAGGTTGTATCTTCAAATGCTAAATTGATAATCTTAATTAGTCTCTACTCTTTAGAGTTCAGAATAAATTAACAGTCTTGTCAATATTCTTGGTTTCTTCAGCCAGACTTCTTCCACTAAGTTTTCAAACCATGTTTTAGGTACGCATGTATCAAAAGTACAGTGAACGCAATTCCTGGAAGCACTCCCTAGTTTCGTGCTCAGAGGTAATACTTTGGGATATGTTTGGATCAAAGAAAATGCGACAGAAGGGAAATATGCTTAGGAAAATCATGTTATTGTGTTTGCTTTTACAATGGACATATTCCACTTACAAAAGAAAAATAAATGTGATAACATTTTTTATTTTTATTTTCTTATGCATATTTTGTGTGTATATACTCTGTATAATAGAGAGATAAATAAAGTGAGTTTAAGCAAAAAAAAAAATCAATTACATTTTCTTTGCTCCCAAATTCCCCCCTGTATTTTCCTCCCAATTTTCAGTGCTAAGTTTATTCCTATGTCTTTCTAAGGCTGATATGGGAGGCTTTAAGATATGTGTCTTGGAGATAAAAGGAAAACGTGTTTATAGCAAATTGAAGTATGAGTCTGGTGTCCATCGCGTCCAGCGCGTTCCACAAACTGAAACTCAAGGCCGTGTCCACACTTCTACTGCTACAGTTGCTATAATGCCAGAGGTGAGATCACATCCACATTTCCTGTTAACTACCTTACATCGGCTGCATACTGTGCTTGAGTCTAGTACTTCGTATATGTATATGAGGAAAGTGTTACCTCTTTAGTATCTTTTTTTGGGCGAGTTAGGGTTTAACTTAACATGGCATCAAAGGTGAGTTTGATGGTTGTTTGTTAGGGCACCTGCCCACTCGGCGGTTTGGGGCAGCCCATTTGGGATCAGTTTGGACTTAGGGATGTGTGTTTAAGTATTCCACTCCAGTTGTCTACTAGGTTAGAGTCTCGTATTAATCGTATATAAACATGAAGTAATTTCACATCTTGAGGATCCTGTTGTGGGTAAGTTAGACCCAATTTATCATTTTAAGAGGTCATCCCCATACCGTCTTGGTCAATCCATATCATAAAGTAATAATTGCAATATGAGACTATGAGTGAATATATAGTTCCATCCGTCCCGGCAAATTTAATCCTCACATACCATCATCTCATTTTCTGGCACCAGGCTGACGAAGTCGAGGTGGAAATTGATCCAAAGGACATTGAGCTTACAACAGCACGCTCGGGTGGTGCTGGAGGTATATGCCGAGCTGACCTTTTGGATCAGTGGTGGTAAGTGAACTACTGAACACACTTTCAAATCACATGCTTGGTTATGTGATGATGCAGGACAGAATGTGAACAAGGTGGAGACAGCTATTGATCTTTTCCACAAACCAACAGGAATCAGAATCTTTTGTACCGAAGAAAGGTCTCAGCTTAAAAATAAGAACCGGGCTTTCCAATTGCTGAGAGCAAAACTGTGAGTCTTATTCGAAGTGCATTTCCAACCGATAGTGTTCCAAAGCAATTCCGTTGATCATAATAATACAAAATAGAGAAAGAAAGTTACAATTGCTGATGACAATTATGCTCTATTAGGTATGAAATTAAATTACGAGAGCAGCAAGCGGTGATTAGGAACCAAAGAAAGTTGCAGGTATACTAGTTTGTTTTAGACATAAATCACACGCGCTACTACATTATCACACAAATAAATACAAGTGTAATGCTATAAGGTGTACTTTGTTAAAACTTAGTTAAATGAAGTAGTGTATTAGTGCAATAAGGTGCATGTCTATTGTAATTTAACTTTAAAGCCCCCTCCCTCTCGTCCCATAAAAAGTCTTGTTTTAGTATTGATTCCAATATTACAAACAAGAGTCATTTTCTTGGGGAAGGGGAATGGGGGACAAGACTATAATTGATTATGTTGCATGTTCTTAGGTATTGTTCAATTATCTGTCATCTAATGTAATGCAAACAAACATTTTTAAGTGTAAATTTACATCACACATTCATATGATTACATTATATTCCATCACAGCTTACCAAAGCGTTGCCCAAGTGTCATACATCCTCCATAGAACTGATTTTCTAGTGGAATTGGAACTGCATGTACGTTGCATTTCCTAATGAGGTTTATCCTTGCTCAATGGGCAGGTTGGCAGTGGCTCTCGTGCAGAAAAGATCCGGACATACAACTTCAAGGTGCAATATCTCTGATGAACTTGAACTCGAAATGTGCCTCCTCATTGTAAAACTTCTTAACAATATCATTAGTACTGTTTCAAACCAGGATTTATATCATTTTGATGTGTTTTCCACTTTTCCCCTGTATTTTTTGAACTGCCTAATAAGATATTATGTATGGGTTACTGGAGTTAAAGTTCAAATGTCTCATGATTTTATTTATTCAGGACAACAGGGTAACAGATCACCGGTTAAAAATAAATTTTGAGCTAACCAGTTTCCTTGAAGGTGACCTAGAGGCAGCTGTTCAGGTTATTTATTGTGTTAGATATTATCGATATTCTCCTCCCCTCCCATCATTATGACTTAGTTGTTGTTGTTGTATTCCTGAAATCATAGTAAAAATCACCCACTGTGTTATTCATGTATGCAGTCTTGTGCTGCTATGGAGCAGAAGGAAATACTGCAGGAACTTGCGGATTCTGTGAAATCAGCGGCTGCTTGATAAATGATATGTATCATCATCAATTTATAGGACGAGTCAATCCTGCCAACTTAGTAGTATGATCATCTGAATCTGTTTGGATCCATAGGACAAGTCAATAGTTGACTGGTGTTCGATTGCAAAGTTTACAATGGTTTGACTTGTTCTACATTCGGATTATTGTATGACAGTCAATGTCGATCTAGTAACTAACCACACCGTTCATATTTTCGGTTTAATCATACTTTTAATTCGTACGTTTTTTTGAAAGACTTTTAATTCGTACGTTTTTTTGAAAGACTTTTAATTCGTACGTTGTACAGTGAGGAGCAATTGTTTTTGTATGGGATAGTTCTATTAGGCTAACCGCAACCCATCTCCGTCAATAAATTAAATTCCACACCAATTTATACGTATTTACTCTGTCAAGTCAATTTTTGCTGCAATCCAACACCGTCAATATTTTCATTCAACAAATATTTTTAAGTAAAATCCTACTTTTATTATTATACATCAAAAATTTTATAATATTTTTTTTGTGAATAATTATGATTTAAAAAGTCAAACATTCCGATGTAAAATTACTCCCTATGTCCCTAAACAAACTTCCATTTCGTTTTTCGAGGGTCAACTTAAATCGCACTTAAATTCTTACTTTATATATCAAAATTTTATAAAAAGTGAATTATTTTTTGCAGACTTTGTAGCGGGTTTGATGTAATTTCTGAATATGTAAATATTATTTTCTAAAAATAATGAGTTTTCACAAGAATCATTTAACTTTATCACTGGTCAAACTTCGTAACCCGCAATTGGAGGTTTAATATGGGACGGAGGTAGTATAAATTTGGAGTTTAATTTTTTCAATGTTACTTTAGACCTATCTAAAAAAACAAATATGTAAAAAAAGTGATTAATGAGATCTTAAATTTTCAACATTGATTTTATTTAAAAAAAAATAGGTCCGAGAATTTCTAGCAAGTGAAACTTTTTATTTTTTTATTTACTATATATATATATAATATTGGTGTTATATGAAAGATCATAAACATTTATGAATTTTGGTACATTTTTTTTGTAAAAATTGAAACCCAAATAAAAATAGGAATTTTTATTTTTCTTGGGCCCACATCTTTTTTAATGTATGTTGTCCATTTCTCTTGCGCAGGCGTGATTCCTTACCTCTCTCTTCGGTGGATCGACCCATCTACTTCCCACCCCACCAGTTCTCCCAGTCGATTTTGGCTCCCTTTTATACGCAAGGTTGGAGTAATTTTTGGGGTGAAAAGCTCAAATATGGCTTATTCACCCCACGGTTGCAGTTAGTCTTAAGGGGTCAAGGAAGTTTGGGCAATTGGCCCTAGAGATAGATTGACTAATGACTAGGAATGCTTAAAAAACTTTCTTCCCGAATAAAAAACCGCTTAGGATGTTTTTACTTGGACTATAATCTATCCTAGAACATAGTAGACTAGACTTGGATAGTTATAAAAATACAAAGAAAACAAATCAGTTCAGAACAGACCAGCAAATTACAGTCCAAAACAGAAAAGATCAGACTTAGATAGTTATAAAACTACAAAAGAAAATCAGATCAGCAAATTACGATCCAAGTAAAAACATCCTTACTTGTTTCCAATCTAGATAAAGAACTGAAAAGTCATTGAGAATTGAAAAGTCATTGGAGAAAAGAGCGGGTATTGGTGAGGTACAACAATGGGATCCAATTGTCTAACACCTTTATTAAAGCTTTAGGAAATTCCGGATATAATTTAACAGTAGTGGAGTTTGGTTTCTAAGTACGGTCATGTTTGCGATTGCTTCTACATTAAAATAGCGATTTTTGAAAAAAGTGTTTAGTAATAAAAATTGGTAGTGTTTGGAAAAAAATGTTTCGGAAAAATAAAAATTAACATTGTTAAGTAAAATAAGTGTTTTTAGTGTAATAGAAAAAGTGAAAAACAGTTTAAACATACATTCACTCGTTTTTTGCTTTTAGCTTTTAAGTGTATAATTTAAACAGGAAAGAATGGCTAAAATATAACATATGGACTTTTGATAGATAAAAATGTGACCATTTTAAACTTGGACACAAAACTGACCATTTAAAACAACGAAACGTGAGTCAAACACTAAAGGCCCGTCGTCTCCAGGTTTCCACAAAATTCTCCATCTACGTTCGCTCATAGCCGATGATCAACAAATCTCTGGTCTTCAATTGAGTTTTTTGAACAACTTCAACAGTTTTTTACATATTGGGGGTGTTTGCAGGGCCGATCCTAGGAAGTTTTTGGTCTGAGTCGAATAGGATAATAAGGCCCTTAAGCACCATAAAAAAATAAACATTAAAAATATTTATACTTAATTGCTTACCTAGAATAAAAGGATTATATTTTGGAAATGAATGAATTAGCGTTTTCCACTCTTCTAGACTAGAGAACTCATCAAAGTTTGAAGTTGGAATTTGGAAAGTTGCAAATTCAAATTAGGCATACTAGAGCTATGGGTACATATATAAAAGAAGATAATATATTTTTGGACCCTATTTTTTTCTCAAAATTGTGGGGCCTGAGGCAATTGCCTCTTTGCCTCAAGGGTAGGTTCGGCCCTGGGTGTTTGGCAAGTGGTTGTTGCCCGTTAGCAGTTGGCTAATTGTGTTGGCTGGTTGATTATAGCGGATTCTGTTGGTTGTTTTGATTAGCTGATAGCATTAGCAGTTTGTAAAATGGTGTTTGGTAAAATAATTGTTTACAATCGGATGATAACTTGTTAAATTACCTTTATGGGCATCAAATAATTTTTTTGCTACTCTTAGTAGTACGATTACATGGGACATTAAATAAAATCCTAATTTTTTGTCAGTATGATGATACTTTTCATAATTAATGGAGATATGAGTAAAAACATCTAATTTAAAAAAAAGTAAACAATATTAAGAAATGTTGTCTAACAAAAATAAAAATTGCTTTTAAATTTTAATATTAATGTGATCACCACTGTTTTAAAGAAACTAGTTTTGTTTGTCACGTCTTGTGCAAGAGGTTACGTGAGGTGGCCTTTGGTAGAAGCTGCAGCATAGGCGGAATGTTTGTTTTCCTAGGAGCGAATTGAAGGTTTGTCGAACCGAGCAGGAACATACGAAAAAGAAGAGTGGATAGGACTGAATACACAGAAAAGCTAACACTAAGGGGTGTTTGGTTAAGAGCCTATTAGTCATTTTTTGGCTGATTTGACCAATATCTAGTTTTTTGACCAAATCAAACAGCTAATAAGGTGTTTGGTTAATGGTTTTTTCATTTGGTTTTTGTCTCAAATAGCCAAAATGTGAAATGCTAATGAACTTAGCCTTTAGGAACGGCTGTTGCTTGATTTTTACGATTTTCCTTTACTGCCCAGGCCTCCTTTTCGGTATCTACATCCTCCCACACAAAAACCATTCAACTGTCTAATTAATGATCCATCGAAGAGAAAAATAGCCACAGCCGAAAAAGAGCCACGGTTCTTTCTTTAGTTTTTTTTGTGGCAGGGAAAATTATTTGAAAGGGTTTAGGAAGAATTGTGTATTTAACAACATGTATATACGGAGTATTGGGTACATATTTATGTTAGAGTAATAATAACAACCACAATAGTATATATACAATTCGAGAAAGACCAGGACAAATTGTTACTTGAAGGATGTAAAATAAATTTTACACTTAAATAAAAAACAGTTTAGGCAATTGCATTATTTACATGAATTGAAAAATTATTAATGTCCTTAATAGTCATTTAACAAGTTATCAGCTGATTGTAAACAACCATTTAACCAAACATCATTTTAAAAACTAGTCGTAGTTGTTAGAGTTTCAGTTGGTGTCAATATTATATTCGTTATGCTTGATGTAATGATCCTGAATCTTTTGATATGAATAGAGGCTGGTTTTGATGATAAAAAAAACTTAGATTAGAACACAGTCAACACACGTTAATTTAGGACTAAACTATACTCCGTATGTTGGAAACTTTTTTGGAAGAATTTAATAGATGATAATACAGGGACACTCTTGTAATTCATTATTCTTGGATTATTATAAATACATGCACACGACTACCTCTAGGGTAAGCCATTCCCTCATAACTCTCATATGGTATCAGATTGCTAAGGGTATCCGATCCAACCCTAAATGACGTCTGCCATACCCTCGTCCGACTCTCATGGCTCGATCGATGCCAACACTACTCAGCCGGAGGCCATCACCATATCGTCGGCTGTTTCTTCTCAGGCGCCCACGTCTCTTCCGTTGGAGCAGCCTCTTATCAGTCGCCCGCAGTCCGTGATCATGCAGGATCAGACAACACTCCCATCGTCGGCTATTTTCAACGCCACCAGTCCACATGTTTCCAGTTATTCTCTCTTTTCGATGCCGGAACCTTTCACCTGGCAGCCGACGACCATCACCTCACCCGCAGTCCAAGCCAGGGGTTCTTCAATGCCTTTTCCTTCGGCCCTTGGACAGTTTGACGTTGGGTCCTCATCCATGATGCCGCATGGTTCTTCATCTAGATTTGGTAATTCTCCATCTTACCTTTCTAATATGGCATCCCAATTGAGTTTCTCCACCCCAAATGTTACGAATATTGTTACCACGCGGTTGGCTTCGCTTGAGGATTATTTACCCTGGAAAACTCAATTTGAAACTTTTTTGGTCTCCCATGGTTTGTTGGGTATGCTGGATGGTACGATTCCCATTCCTTCTCCCTTTATTTTGGATACATCTCGTAGGGAGATTGTTAACATGGATTATCAACACTGGCTTAAAATAGACCAAACCATACGCTCATGGCTATTTGCCACACTGTCTCGAGATTATTTAATTGATGTGCATGGACTCAAGTTTTCTTATCAAATTTGGGACCGTCTTCGAAACAAGTTTATGGCTGCAAGTACGGCAAGGTCTATGGAAATTAAGCGTCACCTTTCCTTGAATAAGAAAAAGCCCGGACAGACCATAGACCAATACCTTCGGGAAATCAAAGTTGCTGCTGCTTCCTTGGCGCTAATCAATTCTCCAATTAGTGACAAGGACCTTATAGAGTATGCTCTTCTTGGTCTTGGTCCTGAGTTTGAGTCTTTGATCGGTGGTTTGGCAAATATTCCTCCAGATTTTACTCTTGATCAACTGGAGCCTATTTTAGGCCTTCAGGAGCGCCGACTGCAGTTCATGCATGGGACGGATGACTCTTCATCCCAACATCAGGCTCTCGCTGCTACTGGGCAGTCTTCTTCGCGCGCTCCAGCTCGCTCCCAACAACATTTTCAGGGCCGAGGGGGTGCACCAC